AGCTTTAAATAAAAAAAAATAAAATCTCACGTGTTGTTTATTTTTGAATCGAGAGACGAAGTGCTTCCATGCAAACCCTTGTAACCATTTGTCACTCTGCCGGCTACCGATAAATACCACACACACACGCACACACAAAAAATACATTTTTCTGGGAGGTGGCCAATTGAACGATTCCCCAAGAGGGCTAAGAATATCGACCTGGCCGAGGGCGAGTCTGCAACACCGCCTGCAGTTGAGTTTGCAGAACTGCACGGAAATTTTCGAAGCGGTTCGATTGGCGGCGATGGGGTGGGTTTGTTGGCGGTGCTGGTGCTGTTATCGGCTAGCTGGAGATACGTGAATAGGTGTATGGCTTTGACAACTTTCGTGGGAGTAATCAGCCGATTGGTGGAGGGGGGGGGGGGATTGTAAAATAAATACGAGACGAAGCGAGGCCGTTATAAAACTCACCGAATGTTTCACACGCAGGAAGCTTTCGCGACCAATGTCATGTCATCCATAATACAGGGTTTTTTTTGGGTTAGATCGCGTAAATATATAAATGTGTCGTTAAATTCGCCACCACCCGACACAGCCAACTAGCAAGGGTTGTCACGTAAACAGAACGTGGCCAATTCGTCACTGGTACAGCAACACCGGTTGTGTGTTGGAGAGCAAATTTGTCCTTCAGATTTGGCTGTCCGCCTGATGGTGCTCGTTGCAATTTCTGGCGGAACGTCGTACTCGGGATTGTAAATGTTGTGGATTTTCTCTCCAACACACAACCGGTGTGCTGTACTGTTACACATTTACGCGACCTAACCCCAAAAATAAACCGATATTATTGTCTCACCGATTAATTACATGGAAGCGATCTCTCTCCCTCTCTCTCTCTCTCCCTCCCCGTAGTCGACATCTCTGCCCTGTGAACTTCATGTATATATGACCATGCGTGTTCCGACTCATTCATTGCCAATAAAACTCCCAACATAAACCTCTTTGCTCGTTGTTTCGTTGAAGTCGACTTTGAATGATTACCCGTTGATTATGAATGGCTGACAATCATCGCAATGCTGATCCCTTCTCGATCCACTGCTGGATGAAGCTCAACCGTGCTCAGTGCTGCTTCGAGTTACGCACATGCTCGTTTGACCATACTTCACCGCGCTAGTCAAGATTAAGTTTCATTGTTTTTTGTTTCATATCCAGGCAGCATCTCATGTGCAAGAGTGACTGGGAACATTCGCGGCGCCAGTTACTGCTGCTGTATGTAAAACATTTTGTAATTTTGCGATGTAATCTTCGAGTTAAATTAAAAGCAAACCCTAAACTATTTATATAATTTACCAGGTGAAGCCCTGCTGAGCTCTTACCTCGTTTTCAGAAGCGGCCACAAATGACGGCTCAACGAAGTGGCTGATATCATCATCATCATCATGTGGTAATTTATAGTAGCAGCCAAATAATCCAACCGCATGTTGATTCTAAATGTGCAGGGACAATCCGGCAAAAAAAAAACACGCGACCACGCAGCGCGAGAGAGAGAGACACGCAAACTCCAAATATACAGCAGCAGCAGGCGTCAGGGGTAGGGATCGAACCCACGAACCTCCTGCACACCAGGCGAGGTAGTCAACATCTCCCAGAGGAGCGTTACGAGTTTACATCGTTACAAGTGAACCGGTCGGCAAAATAATCATAAGTGTCAGTCAATCTTTATTCAGATACGCAGTATACACAAACACACACATATATATAAACATCTAAACGACAACCCACATATGTAACGCGTGGATGCTAACAAACAACATTCGTGTTTAAAAGCCGACGGCGGAGTGCGTAAACCAGTCAGCTCGGTGGCGCCAATGTCCCAGAGAAGATGGGGGCAGAGCGAACGGAGAAGGACTTTAAATAAAACGTTGGACAAGGGCAACAGGCTGCAAAAGTTCATGGTCGAAGACGCTCAGTGGTAGAACTTTAAAAGAGTGGGGGTTTTCAGCGTCGACAAATCACGCACGGATGTTGAACCGACGTCTGCGGGACACTGTGCTTCTTGCGATATGCCGCACCGTACGTAGCCGACCGTGCTAATCGGAGGTGCCCGGGGGAAGGACAGCAAACTGAACGCAGCGATGCCCTTTGCCTTGAGTTATCAGACCCCAGGTCAATGGCAGACTCACCACCACCTGTACTGCCCCCACCTGCGCTAACACACAAACAAGACAAAGATCCCCCTGCCCCCCGTGTAGCCTCAACAGACTGCAGGGGCAAGTGCTGAGACAGTGATCGTAACGACGACGCGGGGCAAGCGGAGGCCGCGGTGTGCCTGGCTCGGCCCGTGCGAGACAAATCTCGGTCAGGATGGGTGCCGCACGTCCCCCCCCCGAGTTGAAGTTGTCACTCCGCCGCCTGGCCTACATCGCTGCCGTCCATCACCGTCGCGAATCAGCGGTGGACGCGCAGCGAGCGCGGCGCGAGCCACGACAGCGGATCGGAAAGAGTCGGCCCGGGAATCAACGTTCACAACGCGCGATTTCCACATCGCTCGCTGCGGGCGTACGGATCGATTGTTCGTCGTTATCGATTAATCGGTTAATCATCGACACAGCTATGAACAATTTTTTGTTTGTTATTTTAACAAGTTAAGGCCCCCACCCCACTGAGCTTTGGAGCTCTTATTCAGAAGCGACCTGGCCACAGATGGTAGCTCAGCCAGGTGGCTCAACAATCGTCGTGCGGAAATTGAAAGCAGCAGGGGAAAAACCGGAGGACCCGGAGGAAAAAAAATCCACGGCGAGAGAGAATAAGAGAGAGACGCAAACTCCAAATATATATATGTGTATATAGCAGCGGGCGTCAAGGCTCGGGATCGAACCCACGACCTCCCGCATACCAAGCGAGGCTAGTCAACATCTCCCCGCCGCTGTGGCGCCCCTGAGTGTCCCCCGAGCGAGACGCGTCGGCCGCCTCCGGCCACCGGGAAACCCTCGCGCGGTGGCCCCTCTCTCTCTCTCTCTCCCTCTCTCTCTCTCCCTCTCTCTCTCTCTCTCCCTCTCTCTCTCCCTCTCTCTCTCTCCCTCTCTCTCTCTCTCTCTCCCTCTCTCTCTCTCTCTCCCTCTCTCTCTCTCCCTCTCTCTCTCTCTCCCTCGCTCTCTCCCTCTCTCTCTCTCCCTCTCTCTCTCTCTCCCTCTCTCTCTCTCTCCCTCTCGCACCCTCCGTCGCGGCCCAAGCAGCCCCTCGCGTCACGAGAGGCGGCCGGAATCCGTTGCCGGGCTCTTGACGGCCACGCCGCCGCTCGCTCGCCGTCGCGCTGGAAGTGCGGCCACGGCCAACGCGGCGTGACGGAGGCCTCCGCTCATCCAGCAGTGGATTGACACGAGGAGGGCTACGTGCCCTTACGCGCGTGCGCGCGCCCGAATCGGCCGTGGGCGCAACTTGAGAAAAAAAAAAAAATCATTCCATCGCAGCAACTTCGTTGCCCTGCAATTTAAAACAAACCGAAGTAGAAAATATTTCCGTCGTCGGCGCCGAAAGATACATTTTGGTGTCCTTTTTTTTTGGGGGGGGGGGTGGGTGGGTGGGGGGGTCGTTAAAAAGCATCTTTCAAACGGAGGAGGTAAATAAAAGGAATGGGGGAAAATTTGCCGTCAAAACTCCCGTGCAAAAAAAAAGTTTGCCCGTCAAATGTTTTGCTTCCTTATCAAGAGGTCAGACGACGCTTCGCCTGTGTACGGGGCCGCCTGCAGAACTGGTGGTGGAAATTCCACATTCCTATGGCGGGGGGGGCGAGTACATCCACAGCGCACGACTGCCATCGACCCCCCCCCCCTACAAAGTGGTAGCTATTTTATCGACCGCGGAAGGAGGGATGATGGGGCCCGCCGAGTCAACCCCCCACTAACCCCCCCCCCCCCAACCACTACCAGGACTGCTGAGCCACCAGGCCCGGTTCCACAAAGCGGTACCCTATTTTATCGACCCCCCCGTAGAGGGGGATGGATGATGGGCCGAGTCAAAACTCATTTCTGTTAAGAACTGCTTTTTGAAAACTCTCCGTTATGCATGGTCGGCTACGCGGGGTGCAAAAGGAGTTCAACGTACACACACACACGAAAGGAGTTCGACTTACACACACACACAGAAGGAGTTCGACTTACACACACACACACGAAAGGAGTTCAACGTACACACACACACACGAAAGGAGTTCGAAGTACACACACGAAAGGAGTTCGACTTACACACACACACACGGAAGGAGTTCAACTTACACACACACACACACGGAAGGAGCTCGACTTACACACACACACGGAAGGAGTTCGACTTACACACACACACGGAAGGAGCTCGACTTACACACACACACGAAAGGAGTTCGACTTACACACACACACGGAAGGAGTTCGACTTACACACACACACACGGAAGGAGTTCGACTTACACACACACACACACACGGAAGGAGCTCGACTTACACACACACACGAAAGGAGTTCGACTTACACACACACACACACGGAAGGAGTTCGACTTACACACACACACGAAAGGAGTTCGACTTACACACACACACACACGGAAGGAGCTCGACTTACACACACGGAAGGAGTTCGACTTACACACACACACGGAAGGAGCTCGACTTACACACACACACGAAAGGAGTTCGACTTACACACACACACGGAAGGAGTTCGACTTACACACACACACACGGAAGGAGCTCGACTTACACACACACACACGGAAGGAGTTCGACTTACACACACACACGGAAGGAGTTCGACTTACACACACACACGGAAGGAGTTCGACTTACACACACACACACGGAAGGAGTTCGACTTACACACACACACACGAAAGGAGTTCGACTTACACACACACACACACGGAAGGAGTTCGACTTACACACACACACACACACGGAAGGAGTTCGACTTACACACACACAAACACGGAAGGAGTTCGACTTACACACACACACACGAAAGGAGTTCGACTTACACACACACACGGAAGGAGTTCGACTTACACACACACACACACACGGAAGGAGTTCGACTTACACACACACACACACACGGAAGGAGTTCGACGTGCGTGAGTGCGCACAACCCCTGGTGGGAAGCAGGGTTCGAACTCGGGGTCGTCGAACTGCAGGGCGCCTCGACGCACCACCAGGCAGCAGCAGCTGCAGGTGCAGCTGCAGGTGCTGCACATGCAGCTGCACCTGCAGCAACACCAGCAGCAGCTGCAGCAACACCTGCAGCAGCTGCTGAGCCACCGCCGGTTTGGCAAACACGCGGCGCGGTTTTGGCAAAGGCGGGAGGAGGTTTGTCCACCCCACGTCGTGCCGGCCGGAGACGGTGAACGCCGCAGTGGGAAAAAGTGGGGGCGGAGGTGGGGGGGGGGGGGGGAGGTGGGGGGGGGGAGGGGTGGGTGGGGGTTGTGGGTGGTGGGGGTCTCAGTGCTTGGCCATGTCAGGCCGCAGCAGCAGGCAGGCCTCCGCCCACGTGTTGTGGTTGCTGCACATTTCCTCCCAGACGGCCACCTCCTCCCCCTGCGAGTCCATCCAGTCCACGGGAGTCCCCGCGTACTCGCCTGCAACGAGCGTTAACCGCCACCACCACAGTCACCACCACAGTCACCACCACAGTCACCACCACCGTCATCACCACCGTCACCACCACCACCATCGTCACAACCGTCACAACCGTCACAACCGTCACAACCACCGTGTTAGGCTCGAGAGAGGAGGATGGAGGAAGGGGGGAGGGATGAGCATGAGGAGGAGGGTGAGAGGGGTGAGAAGGTTGTTGTGATGATGTGGAGGGAAGAAGGGGAGATAGGGGAAGGAAGGGGGAGTGGATGGAGGGGTAGGGCTAGGGGTATTTGTAGGGCTAGGGGTATGTGTAGGGCTAGGTGGTAGGTGTAGGGCTAGGGGTATGTGTAGGGCTAGGTGGTAGGTGTAGGGCTAGGTGGTAGGTGTAGGGCTAGGGGTATGTGTAGGGCTAGGTGGTAGGTGTAGGGCTAGGTGGTAGGTGTAGGGCTAGGTGGTAGGTGTAGGGCTAGGGGTAGGTGTGTCGGGGAGTATGGGCTAGGGGTAGGTGGTAGGGCTAGGGGTATGTGTAGGGCTAGGTGGTAGGTGGTAGAGGTAGGGCTAGGTGGTAGGTGTAGGGCTAGGTGGTAGGGCTAGGGGTATGTGTAGGGCTAGGTGGTAGGTGTAGGGCTAGGTGGTAGGTGTAGGGCTGGGGGTAGGTGTAGGGCTGGGGGTATGTGTAGGGCTAGGTGGTAGGGATAGGGCTAGGGGTATGTGTAGGGCTAGGTGTAGGGCTAGGTGGTAGGTGTAGGGTTGGGGGTAGGTGTAGGGCTGGGGGTATGTGTAGGGCTAGGTGGTAGGTGTAGGGCTAGGGGTAGGTGTGTCGGGGGGTATGGGCTAGGGGTAGGTGGCTAGGGGTAGGTGGTAGGGGTAGGGCTAGGTGTATGTGTATGGCTAGGTGGTAGGTGTATGGCTAGGGGTAGGTGGTAGGGCTAGGGGTATGTGTAGGGCTAGGTGGTATGTGTAGGGCTAGGGGTAGGTGTGTCGGGGGGTATGGGCTAGGTGGTAGGTGTGTCGGGGGGTATGGGCTATGGGTAGGTGGTAGGGGTAGGGGTATGTGTATGGCTAGGTGGTAGGTGTAGGGCTAGGGGTAGGTGTGTCGGGGGGTATGGGCTAGGGGTAGGTGTAGGGCTAGGTGGTAGGTGTAGGGCTAGGGGTAGGTGGTAGGGGTATGTGTATGGCTAGGTGGCTAGGGGGGTATGGGCTAGGGGTAGGTGTGTCGGGGGGTATGGGCTAGGGGTAGGTGGTAGGGGTAGGGGTATGTGTATGGCTAGGTGGTAGGTGGTAGGGCTAGGGGTATGTGTGTCGGGGGGTATGGGCGAGGTGGCTAGGGGGGTATGGGCTAGGGGTAGGTGTGTCGGGGGGTATGGGCTAGGGGTAGGTGTGTCGGGGGGTATGGGCGAGGTGGCTAGGGGGGTACCCACCGGAGGTGCCCATGCCCAGGCGCACGCCGCCCAGGAAGTGCTTGCTGGCGATGCTCTCCTTGTCCCACACGGTGAGCTCCAGCGCTTGCTGGGGCAGCTCGTGTGGCTGCACGGCCCGCAGCACCAGCGTCTCGCCCCACACGGGGCTCACCTTCTGCTTCGCCACCGCCGTCTTCTGCCGCGTCCCCTTGGGGTCCACGGGCAGCAGGGAGCTGCGTCGCCGTGGACAACGGGGGGGGGGGGGGGTGGTGGGCGAGAAGGGGGGGGGGGGGGCGATGAGGTGGGAGGAGGGGCGGCGACGAGGGGGGGGGCGAGTAAGGTTGGCGACGTTCGACGTCGGACGGTAAAGGCTTTTGCCGCACGCGCGCGTTGTTATGTTATGTACACACACACACACGTACACACACACGTACACACACGTACACACACACACGTACACACACACGTACACGCACACACACTACACGCACGTACACACACACACGTACACACACACGTACACATACATACACGCACACGCAGTACACGCACACGCAGTACACGCACACACAGTACACGCACACACACTACACACACACACGCACACACGCACACACACACGTACGCCTTGACGAAGGAGTTGACGGTGCCGCCCGGCTTGAGTGGACACAGGTTGCGCGCCTCCTTCACCAGCACGTGGATCTCTCCGCCCGCCGCTTGCACGCTCTCCTGCTTTCTGCGCAGGGTCCTCTTCAAGCGGCTCTCAGCTGCGACGACGACAACAACAACGACAACAACAACAATGACAACAACAACAACAACAATGACAACGACGACGAGACCCGGTTACAACAACACGGTGCACAATGACAGCACCCCCACAAAAACAGCGACGCGATCGGATGCAACACGGGGCTTGTGCGAGCACTCACTGCCTTCACCCCTTCTGGCAATAGAAGCACACGAGGTGCTGAGAGGCGTGAACGCCCAATAGATTACAGCCACTCGTAGCTCAAGCCGAGCTATGAGTGCTTTTAGATGTCTCCTTGGTTCTTTCGGTGAAGTCACGTAGAAGGGAAGTAATTAAAGAATACAAATAAAACATAATCAACTTAAATTCTCACGACGTTTCGGCCACAACGCAAGCGGCCGTCCTCGAGTGAAGAAACAGAGCTGTCGGTAAGACGGCGTCCTAATGAACACCGCTAAGCTTGGCAGCGTCTTTTAAGCTGGGTGGGAGGAGCAGAGCGCCTTGACAAAGGAGTTTACATATCAACAGAAGAATTTAGCATTGAAGCAGCTGTGTTAATGTGAGAGATTAGCAGGATGTTAGTGTGAGGAATTAGCATGTAACTGGTCACGGAAGTAGCTATGTTAAAGTCAGAGTTTACATATCAACAGAGGCATTTAGTACATTGACGCTAAAGAACTGCAACTACCCAACTATCATACAATAAACCGATGTGAACGAACTAAATATAAACCACATCAATACAATCAATGTACTCAATATATTTCTCCACTAAGCTGAGCCACTAACAATAAGTCATTATTACATTACACTTCTATGCTTTCAGATACTTGCATTGCCCATGTACCCTTTCGCCTTGTGGCGCCGTTCTCTGGTCTAACGCTGGTGGGGTGACGAGGCCATGAAGGAGCTCGCCGTCTCTGGGTGTGGGCAAATCGGTTCCAAGCACAATGCCATTATACTATCAGAGCTTGTTGTTCGTTCGCATTCTGAGCACAGGCATTGCGGTCAGAATGCGGACGCGATTCCTCGTGAGAATGTTTCAGTTTGGCGTTTTAACACCTTAACGCGGCTGGTTTCGTTGCCAGAAAAAAAGGGGGAAAACCCCTTCTGGTATTTTGGCACTGGCAGAGGAGGTCCCATGACGCTTAACGTTATTGTCGGAGCGTGTTTCTTTGCACGTTTTGCCACGAGCATGCGTGGTTAACGCAGGCGTGATGCCCTGCAATAGGGAGAATCTATTTGGTGTCTGAACATCTTAACACCCCCAGATTTATTTCCAGAAAGGCGAGATGTTAACTACCTCGCCTGGTACGCAGGAGGTCGTGGGTTCGATCCCGACCCTGACGCCTGCCGCCGTGTATGTGGAGTTTGCGTGTCTCTCTCTCTCTGTCTCCCCGTGGTGACGTGGATTTTTAATCAGGGTCCTCCGGTTTTCCCCTCCCTGCATTTAGAATCAGCGAGGTCACGCGTTTGAAGAGTTTGCTGATAAAAATTGTCCACACGAATGACGACAAGCCCACCTCGACGGGCTATCGCTTGCGACGGACCGGTGGCTTCTGAAAGAGAGCCACTAAGCTCAGCGGGGCCTTACCCAGAAAAAGTAACAAAAGAGTTTAGAAAATAGTTTGTGATCCCCCGGTCGTCATCAATCAGAACGCAATGCGGCGTTCTGCTGCGGGCCTTTGTCATCGTGTCGCGCGCAAATCTAATAACAAAAAATTGTTTCTTCACTTTCCACTCTCTACCCCCCCCCCCACCACCACTCTCTCGCCCCCCCCCCCCCCCGTCAGAGGAAGGCCCTCAGCGTGAGCATTGAGCAGCGATGTCGTTCTCTACCCCACGCCGAGACTCGTACAAAGCGCCCCGCAATGTTCCCACATCCCCTGCGGACAACACCGGCGTACGTTGTACCGGAGGCGGGGGGGGGGCCCTTGTGTGCTCGCCCCAATGAGACACGATGAAAAGTTGCTGTTTATCCTTGATGTTTAACAAAATCATTTTGATACTGCCAAACAAAGGGCCCCCCCCCCCCCCCCCATGGAAGGAGGCTTACCGGCTGGCTTCTCCTCGGGGACCAGGTGGGCAGGGACGAACTTGAGAGACACCGTGAGCTCGCCCTTGTACTGGGGAATGCCACCCGCCTGAGCCTGGGACTGAGGCCAGGCAACGACCACGACAACAACAAGCAACAAAACACGCAGACAACAGACCCGTTGAGTAAACAACAAACAGCAACATTGCAGAGGGGCTGGGGGGGGGGGGGTTCTGCAAAACCGCAAAGGACGAAGTTCTGCAAGTTTCCGTCCGGTGACGGTGTCGGCCAACCGGCCGCAACTCGTCTCCGGTAAGGGAATTGTCGTGCTGCACTAACAGTGCCGGACGAAGCTGGTGCGGGGCCTGTAGCATTGTGCTGTGATAAAAGAGGCCCTAAATTAAAATGAAATATAAACACGTAAATATTAAAGCACGTAAATGCTTAACTTGCACGGTAAAGCAATTGTATTTTCTTCATTCGCTATACAGCCAGATAATGCGACAAATCGATAACCTTAAACACCCGGTCGTTCGTAAAAGCTGAAGGTGGTATAGTACTATAGTAATAGAGCAAGTGCAGAATCACTGAACCGGAATTGACATCTTGAGAGCATTTAGCGCGGGGCCCTTGAAAGTGCGGGGCCCGTAGCTACTACACGTGCAGCTACTACACATGCAGCTACTACACATGTAGTAGCTACTACACATGTAGTAGCTACTACACATGTAGTAGCTACTACACATGTAGTAGCTACTACACATGTAGCTACTACATGTGTAGTAGCTACATGTGTAGTAGCTGCACGTGTAGCAGCTGCACGTGCAGCAGCTGCATGTGTAGTAGCTGCACGTGTAGCTACTACACATGCAGCTACTACACATGTAGTAGCTACTACACATGTAGCTACTACACATGTAGCTACTACACATGCAGCTACTACACATGCAGCTGCTGCACGTGCAGCTGCTATACGTGCAGCTGCTACACGTGCAGCTGCTACACGTGCAGCTACTACACATGTAGCTACTACACATGTAGCTACTACACATGCAGCTACTACTACATGTAGCTACTACACATGCAGCTACTACTACATGTAGCTACTACACATGCAGCTACTACACATGTAGCTACTACACATATAGCTACTACACATGTAGCTACTACACATGCAGCTACTACACACGGAGCTACTACACACGGAGCTACTACACACGTAGCTACTACACATGAAACTACTACACATGTAGCTACTACACACGTAGCTACTACACACGTAGCTACTACACACGTAGCTACTACACACGTAGCTGCTACACATGTAGCTACTACACATGCAGCTACTACACACGGAGCTACTACACACGTAGCTACTACACATGTAGCTACTACACATGTAGCTACTACACATGTAGCTACTACACACGTAGCTACTACACATGCAGCTACTACACATGCAGCTACTACACACGGAGCTACTACACACGTAGCTACTACACATGTAGCTACTACACACGGAGCTACTACACTTGTAGCTACTACACATGAAACTACTACACTTGTAGCTACTACACATGTAGCTACTACACACGGAGCTACTACACACGTAGCTACTACACACGTAGCTACTACACACGTAGCTACTACACATGCAGCTACTACACATGCAGCTACTACACATGCAGCTACTACACATGTAGCTACTACACACGGAGCTACTACACACGTAGCTACTACACACGTAGCTACTACACACGTAGCTACTACACATGCAGCTACTACACACGTAGCTACTACACATGCAGCTACTACACATGTAGCTACTACACATGCAGCTACTACACACGTAGCTACTACACATGTAGCTACTACACACGTAGCTACTACACACGTAGCTACTACACACGTAGCTACTACACATGCAGCTACTACACATGTAGCTACTACACATGCAGCTACTACACATGTAGCTACTACACATGCAGCTACTACACACGGAGCTACTACACACGTAGCTACTACACATGTAGCTACTACACATGTAGCTACTACACATGCAGCTACTACACATGCAGCTACTACACATGCAGCTACTACACACGGAGCTACTACACACGTAGCTACTACACGTGCAGCTACTACACATGTAGCTACTACACATGCAGCTACTACACACGGAGCTACTACACACGGAGCTACTACACACGTAGCTACTACACATGAAACTACTACACACGTAGCTACTACACACGTAGCTACTACACACGGAGCTACTACACACGTAGCTACTACACATGTAGCTACTACACATGTAGCTACTACACATGTAGCTACTACACATGCAGCTACTACACATGCAGCTACTACACATGCAGCTACTACACATGTAGTAGCTACTACACACGTAGCTACTACACGTGCAGCTACTACACATGTAGCTACTACACATGCAGCTACTACACATGTAGCTACTACACACGGAGCTACTACACACGTAGCTACTACACATGAAACTACTACACACGTAGCTACTACACACGTAGCTACTACACACGGAGCTACTACACACGTAGCTACTACACATGTAGCTACTACACATGTAGCTACTACACATGTAGCTACTACACATGCAGCTACTACACATGCAGCTACTACACATGTAGCTACTACACACGTAGCTACTACACAAGTAGCTACTACACGTGTAGCTACTACACATGAAACTACTACACACGTAGCTACTACACACGTAGCTACTACACACGTAGCTACTACACATGAAACTACTACACATGTAGCTACTACACATGTAGTAGCTACTACACACGTAGCTACTACACATGAAACTACTACACATGTAGCTACTACACATGTAGTAGCTACTACACACGTAGCTACTACACACGTAGCTACTACACACGTAGCTACTACACATGTAGTAGCTACTACACATTTAGCTACTACACATGCAGCTACTACACATGTAGTAGCTACTACACACGTAGCTACTACACATGAAACTACTACACATCAAACTACTACACATGTAGCTACTACACACGTAGCTACTTGTGCTACTGGGATCATCCGGCACTGACCCCCGACACCGCCCCCCCGTGGCTCCCTGTCCCGGCGAGGATTCTGCACCTGCGGAGGGACTTGCACCCTGCAGCCAAGGGGAGTTGAAGCGACTTTTTTTTTTTACACACCTGCCGACGATAATCGCCCACCTGTAACCGCGGTCAACCTAAAGACTCTCAACAGTTTCCCTTTCGCCGCCGACTCGACGCCCCCGATCGGGAATGGGAATATTTACACGGCAGGAATGCGACTTGCCGTAGAGCTCTATACGTTAAAAAATTTACTTTTTAAACAGATGTCCAAAATTACCTCGGGGTTGTTGCTGCTGCTGTTGTTGGTGTTGGCAATGGTTCACATGCACAGGCAACAACAACAACAACAAAAACCAGACGCTCTTTAGAAGGGCTACTGCACAAAACGTCGGCTCTTAATGCGTACGATTTTCTCCTTTCAACGATTAGCACTGTTGGCTACGTACGGTGCGAAAGAAGTTCAACACACACACGTACATACTGGCGGTTGGCTATGTACAACACACACACACACATGCATACGTACGTACGTTTCGAATTGCGTATAAAAAAAAATCCTCAACATCTCAAGAGCGGCAATGCAACGTGAATACAAGACAGTGGCCCTTGATAAATAACGTCATGAAGCAGCAGTCCTTACTCAGCCACCGCATGTTGCTGACCCCTGCTCTGAACGCGTGGTGACGTTGATTGTAAATGTGGTGGAGGGAAAAACCGGAGGACCCGGAGTAAAATCCACACGGGGAGAGAGAAAGAGACGCGCAAACTCCGAATATACAGCAACAGCAGGCGTCGTCGGGGTCGGGATCGAACCAACGACCTCCCGCATGCCCAGCGAGGTCGTTAACATCTCATAGCCACCGTGATGATGAGACAGAGAGAGAGAGAGAGACGCAAACTCCAAATATACAGCAGGCGTCAGGGTCGGGATCGAACCCACGACCTCCTGCATACCAGGCGAGGTAGTTAACATCTCATAGCCACCGTGATGATGGTGATGAGAGAGAGAGACACGCAAACACCGTATATACAGCAACAGCAGGCGTCGTTGGCGTCGGGATCGAACCCACGACCTCCTGCACGCCGGGCGAGGGAGTCAACATCTCCCGGCCACCGAGGTCACCTTGCGCTGCAGGGGGAGCCACTGCTCGTCCGTGTTGTCCAGGTTCCACGTGTCCATGTTGATCTCCGTCTCTCCCAGGAAGGCGTTGCGCCCGAACGTGTCGTGGTGCCACACGGTGAGCTGCAGCGTGCGCGTCGACAGCTGCGACTGCGAGATGGTGTACTGCGAGCAAAGACAAAGGTTCCACCCCCACCACCGTGTAGCCTTGACGGACTGTTGGGGCAAGTGCTGTTCGTAGCGAGTAGCAGCAGCAGCAGCCCCTATAAAGACAAAGACCTCCCGTATAGCCTTAACAGACTGTTTGGGGCAAGTGCTGTTAGGGAGTAGCAGCCCCTATAAAGATAAAGATCCCCCGTACAGCCGTAACAGACTGTTGGGGGCAAGTGCTGTTAGGGAGTAGCAGCACCTATAAAGATAAAGATCCCCCATATAGCCTTAATATACTTTTTGGGCAAGTGCTGTTAGCGAGTAGCAGCAGCAGCACCTATGAAGACAAAGATCCCCCGCATAGCCTTAACAGACTATTTGGGGGCAAGTGCTGTTAGGGAGTAGCAGCACCTATAAAGATAAAGATCCCCCGTACAGCCTTAACAGACTGTTGGGGGCAAGTGCTGTTAGGGAGTAGTAGCACCTATAAAGATAAAGATCCCTTGTACAGCCTTAACAGACTGTTGGGGGCAAGTGCTGTTAGGGAGTAGCAGCACCTATAAAGATAAAGATCCCCCGTACAGCCTTAACAGACCGTTGGGGGCAAGTGCTGTTAGGGAGTAGCAGAACCTATAAAGATAAAGATCCCCCGTACAGCCTTAACAGACTGTTGGGGGCAAGTGCTGTTAGGGAGTAGCAACACCTATAAAGATAAATATCCCCCATATAGCCTTAATATACTCTTTGGGCAAGTGCTGTTAGCGAGTAGCAGCAGCACCTATGAAGACAAAGATCCCCCGCACAGCCTTAACGGACTGTTGGGGGCAAGTGCTGTTAGGGAGTAGCAGCACCTATGAAGACAAAGATCCCCCATATAGCCTTAATATACTCTTTGGGCAAGTGCTGTTAGCGAGTAGCAGCAGCACCTATGAAGACAAAGATCCCCCGCACAGCCTTAACAGACTGTTGAGGGCAAGTGCTGTTAGGGAGTAGCAGAACCTATAAAGATAAAGATCCCCCATATAGCCTTAATATACTCTTTGGGCAAGTGCTGTTAGCGAGTAGCAGCAGCAGCACCTATAAAGATAAAGATCCCCCGTACAGCCTTAACAGACTGTTGGGGGCAAGTGCTGCTAGCGGAGCGGCGTGCCTGTGAAGGCCGGAGCGGCGTGCGAGGGCCGGTGCGTAAGGCAGCCTCACACCGCGTGTTGAGGCCGAGCCGACCTCGGGGAGGGCCCAGGGACCGGTTCAGACAATCGTCACCGGCGTTGGCCACGATTGGGACTCGGCGAGCTTATGGCTCCACAGACGGCGTGCGGATAACAGGGGAGCGGATAACAGGGGAGCGAATAACAGGGGAGCGGATAACCGATGTGCGAATAACCGGCGTGCGGATAACCGGCGTGCGGATAACCGGCGTGCGGATAACAGGGGAGCGGATAACAGGGGAGCGGATAACCGGCGTGCGGATAACAGGGGAGCGGATAACAGGGGAGCGGATAACCAGCGTGCGGATAACAGGGGAGCGGATAACCGGCGTGCGGATAACCGGCATGCGGATAACCAGCGTGCGGATAACTGGCGTGTGGATAACAGGGGAGTGGATAACCGATGTGCGGATAACCGGCGTGTGGATAACAGGGGAGCGGATAACCGATGTGCGGATAACAGGGCAGCGGATAACAGGGGAGCGGATAACCGGCGTGTGGATAACCGGCGTGCTCGTCCAGCGGCACCGCCCGGGCAGCGCGCCCTGCACCTTGAGCGTCTCGTTGTACACCGGGTTGACCGTGTTCTTCTGCGTCGTGGTCTTGCGCTTGCTCTGCTTGGACTTGTCTGGCAGCAGGTACACCTTCACGTACCTGGCCCGCAGCCAACCACGGTCACGGTGCAACGTCGTCTCCGCGTCCCCGACTCTCCGACACGTCCGTGTCCGTGTCTACTCATGCGTGTCTCCCTGTCTCTGTATCTCCGTGACTCCCCGTTCCCCCCCCGCCTGTCCCCCCATCCCCCGCGTGTCCCCCACGTGTCCCCCACGTGTCCCCACGTGTCCCCACGTGTCCCCCACGTGTCCCCCACGTGTCCCTACGTGTCCCCCACGTGTCCCTACGTGTCCCCCACGTGTCCCTGCGTGTCCCCGCGTGTCCCTACGTGTCCCCCACGTGTCCCCACGTGTCCCCCACGTGTCCCTCACGTGTCCCCCACGTGTCCCCCACGTGTCCCCCACGTGTCCCCACGTGTCCCCCACGTGTCCCCACGTGTCCCCCGTGTGTCCCCACGTGTCCCCCACGTGTCCCCCACGTGTCCCAGCGTGTCCCCCACGTGTCCCAGCGTGTCCCCCACGTGTCCCAGCGTGTCCCCCACGTGTCCCCCACGTGTCCCAGCGTGTCCCCCGCGTGTCCCCCGCCTGTCCCCCCATCCCCCGTGTGTCCCCCGCGTGTCCCCCGCGTGTCCCCCCATCCCCCTACGTGTCCCCCGCGTGGTGCGCGAGCGTGTGTCCCCTCCCCGTACGTACGGGTTGGAGCTCTGCTTCTTGGCGTTGCCGAAAGCGAGGCTGCGGCACTTGCGCACGTTCACGTTGAGCGTGCCGGTACGGTACTCATACTGCAGCGAGAGCAGCACGTCGCCCTTCACCTCCACGCCGGCGCCAAAGTCCACCTCGCTGTACGTGCTCATCAGGCTCATCATGCTCACCTGCGCACGCACGCACAGCATCAGCAGCAGCAGCAGCATTGGCGTCTTCATCATCATCAGCAGCAGCAGCATTGGCGTCTTCATCATCATCAGCAGCAGCAGCGTTGGCAGCAGCAGCAGCAGCATCATCACGATCATCAGAATCAGCATCATCATCATCAGTAACATCAGCAGCATTAGCAGCATCATCATCAGTAGCATCAGCAGCATCATCATAACCATCATTATAATCATCATCAGCAGCAGCATCATCAGCATCATCAGCAGCATCATCAGCAGCATCATCATCATCATCAGCATTATCATCATCAGCATAAGCAGCATCATCATAACCATCATTATAATCATCATCATCAGCAGCAGCATCATCATCAGCATCATCATCCAAGCTGGCTGTGCTCATGAGACCATGGTGATACTCATCTGTGGGGTGAAATTGACTCACGTCGAGACTCACAGAGACCCAAAGCCTCACACACAGAGAGCCACGGAGGAGGCAATGCCACTGACTCACGCAGACGTCACACCACCTCGCACAGGGAGCGCCACGGGCTCGCAGCGCGAGCCACGGGGCCGCAGGAGGAGCCCGTGGCTCACAGGGAGAGCCACGGGGTCACGGGAGCAGCCGTGGCTGACGGCACGAGCCAGGGCGTGTGTGGCGGGTGTGGCACGCACGGTGGAGCGCATGGTGCCGCTGGCGCTGCCACGGTGCGAGGTGACGATGCCGTCAATGTCCTCCTCCTCGTCCTCCTCGTCGAGCCCCTGGGGACCAGTGGCAGCGGCGTCCAGGTGAGTGCCACGCTGGGGCGGTGGTGTTGATGGTGCGTTGAAGGTGGTGGTGGTGGTGGTGGTGGTGGTGCCGTGGTGCGGGGAGCGGTGGTGTAGCGGTTAGCGCTACGCTGCGCTACGGACCTGGCGACACGGGTTCGATTCCCGCTCACGCGGCCAACACCGGTGAAGATTATCTGAACCGGTCCCGGGCCTCTCCTAGGTCGACTCAGCCTCAAATGAGTACCTGGTGCGGTGTGTAAACATCGCCACTGGGGAGACAAAGGTGGCCGGGCGTGGTGTTGGCCACCCACCCCCTCGTGTGCCGTGCCGGCCTTCATAGGTGCTCGCTAACACCACTTGCCCCTACAGTCTGTTAAGGCTATACGGGGGATCTTTGTCTTTTTTTTGTACCGTGGTGGTGGTGCCGTGGTGGTGGTGCCGTGGTGGTGGTGGTGCCGTGGTGGTGGTGGTGCCGTGGTGGTGGTGCCGTGGTGGTGGTGGTGCCATGGTGGTGGTGCCGTGGTGGTGGTGGTGCCGTGGTGGTGGTGGAGGTGGTGCCGTGGTGGTGGTGCCGTGGTGGTGGTGGTGGTGCCGTGGTGGTGGTGGTGCCGTGGTGGTGGTGCCGTGGTGGTGCCGTGGTGGTGGTGGTGCCGTGGTGGTGGTGGTGCCGTGGTGGTGGTGCCGTGGTGGTGGTGGTGCCGTGGTGGTGGTGCCGTGGTGGTGGTGGTGGTGCCGTGGTGGTGGTGGTGGTGGTGGTGCCGTGGTGGTGGTGCCGTGGTGGTGGTGGTGGTGCCGTGGTGGTGGTGGTGGTGGTGCCGTGGTGGTGCCGTGGTGGTGGTGGTGCCGTGGTGGTGGTGGTGGTGGTGGTGGTGCCGTGGTGGTGGTGGTGGTGCCGTGGTGGTGGTGGTGCCGTGGTGGTGGTGGTGGTGCCGTGGTGGTGGTGGTGGTGCCGTGGTGCCGTGGTGGTGGTGCCGTGGTGCCGTGGTGGTGGTGCCGTGGTGGTGGTGCCGTGGTGGTGGTGGTGCCGCCTCTCACCCGGCGCATGTTGACGGCCGGCACCGAGACACAGCGACTCCCCATGGCGCTGGAGGCCCCCGTGTTGGAGCGGAGGTCGATCTCGGACGTCCACCCCCCGGACTCCATCGACTTCTTGGAGCACTTGCTGAACATCTTGTCCACCTTCCTCCTGCCCCCCACCTCCTCCTCCTCCTCCTCCTCACCCCCCTGCTCCTCGCCCCCTTCGTCCACCTCGTCGCCCTCTTCGTTCTGCCGGGGTCGACGGCGCTGCCGCTGCTTGCTGTCGTCGTCATCGTCGTCGTCCTCCCCCTCCCTCTCCTCCCCCTCCCTCTCCTCTCCCTCGTCCTCCTCGTCATTGGCCGACTTGCTCGACTGCATGGACAGATCGTTATGGGTGTCATCGGCATTGTCATCAACCGCACGCTCACCCAACCGCTCGCTCACCCAACCGCACGCTCACCCAACCGCTCGCTCACCCAACCGCTCGCTCACCCAACCGCTCGCTCACCCAACCGCTCGCTCACCCAACCGCACGCTCACCCAACCGCTCGCTCACCCAACCGCTCGCTCACCCAACCGCACGCTCACCCAACCACTCGCTCACCCAACCGCTCGCTCACCCAACCGCTCGCTCACCCAACCACTCGCTCACCCAACCACTCGCTCACCCAACCACTCTCTCACCCAACCACTCGCTCACCCAACCACACTCTCACCAAACCACTCGCTCACCCAACCACTCCCTCACCGAACCACTTGCTCACCCAACCACTCGCTCACCCAACCACTCGTTCACCAAACCACTCGCTCACCCAACCACTCGCTCACCCAACCACTCGCTCACCCAACCACTCGCTCACCCAACCACTCGCTCACCCAACCATCCTCTCAACCAACGACTCACTCGCCCAACCAACCACTTGCCTAACCACTCGTTCGCCCAACAACTCGCTCGCCCAACCACTCTCTCAACCAACGACTCACTCACCAAACCACTCGCCCAACCACTCGTTCGCCCAACCACTCGTTCGCCCAACCACTCGTTCGCCCAACCACTCACTCGCCCAACCGCGCCGCTCTCTCCCACGCCCCTCACCTTGCCACCGCGGCTCGACACTCCGCTGTGCTTACTGAACGCCGGCGACACGGCGCCGGAATCCCGCGACTGAGGCCGCTGCGCGTTCCCGGCCTTCCCGGCCTTCCCGGCCTTCCCGGCCTTCCCGGCCGCCGCCGCCGCCGCCGCCGCCGGCGTCGTTCGCCCCCCGCCAGCTTCCCGCGGCTGCCCCCGCGGCTGCCCCGTCCGGGCGGCGGTCTCGTCGCCGGCGCCGTAGTCGGAGCGCGCCGAGGAGACGTAG